CTCGTGGCAGCTCTGTTGGAGTTTCTTAGAGGTAAGTGCCACGTTCTCATTTCTCATAACATGGCCAATGCCTTATGCAAAGTAGAGCGTCCTTCCGCCGACGCCTCGGCGACCTATTTCTCCGACGGCACACGACTCGGAAACCGCCTTATCATGATCCTGTCGGTTGCACTTGAAACGAACGAAGATGCTACCGTGGTTCAAGATTGTTATGCCATTATCCTAGAAGCATCACTTCACTCGCGCATCATCTGGGAAGCCTTCATTGAGCACCCCCAAGTTCCGCAATTGCACCGAGCGCTACTTCTGGAAGACCTCAGGGAGCCTTTGCGACAACATGTTGCTCAGAAAATTGATTCCGTCTGTGGTGGTGATCTTCCATCTACATGTCCACTGACCAAAGGTGAGATTGCCACCCAGTTCTGGGCGGTCATTTCTGCGATCATTCCAGATTCTGTGCGCCTTCCTATACAGTCTTTTCAACTACTCGACATTGCTGAGCGGGTTTTTCGGGCAAAGGACGAGTACGAACGCAACGAAGCTTCACTCCGACTGTACTTGACTAAATGGATTGACCTACTATTGAACCACAAGCATCAGGAGTTTGTAGGCCGAGACGAGATCGACCACGTGGTTTTTGGTCTCACAAAGCTTATATCATGCTGCATACTGTCATTGAAGTCGTTCAAGAAGCCTCTCAATACAGGCGACGTGATGGAGAAGATATTCAAGAAGTACATTTTCGCCGAGAGGTACGTCGCGCAAACCGACCAAAAATCGAGCGACTCTGCTCCGATTTGCTACCTTTTTTCATACAGCAAGATACTGACTCAAACCAGTCGGTCTTCTGCAGAAGCTGGCCTAGCTACTGTACCGATACTAGAGTCACACACGAGGCACGAGATGTACGATCTCATGCTTGCCCTAGTCGACGACAGTAGCACGTACAATACCCTCATCAAGCTCGCAGGAGACGTAGAAAACGAGGAATACGAGCCAGCGTTGGCCACCGTCTCTGTCGATCGTTCCATGGAAATACGCTCTGGCACAGGCTATGTGGGTCTGTACAACCCGCGTGCCATCTGTTACGCAAACTCCCTTCTTACTCAGCTCTTCATGAATCTCAACTTCCGTGAATTCATCCTAGGTTTGGAACTGCAAGAAGGCAGTGGCTCTCAACAGCTTCTACTTGAAACACAGAGGCTATTTACAAACATGCAGCATTCCTTTCGCAGGTCTGCAGATCCACGCAGTTTCGCAGCATGTGTCAAGAATTCGGAGCTCATGCCTATCGACATCAGCGTTCAGATGGACGCAGATGAGTTCTACAATTCCCTGTTCGACCAGTGGGAACGTCAACTTATTAAAGAAGAGCACAAACAGCATTTTCGCTCATTCTATGGGGGGCAAACCTTGAATCAGATCAAATCAAAAGAGTGCGAACACGTTTCTGAACGAACGGAGCCTTTCTTCGCGGTACAATGCGATGTCCAGGGCAAGTCCACACTTCAAGAGAGTCTCCAGGCTTTTGTTAGAGGCGATGTCATGGAAGGCGACAACAAGTACAAATGTGAAAGCTGTGGGGGTAGATATGTTGATGCAGTCAAGCGGTAAATTGAAGTCAAATCTGGTATTGAGCGAAGCTAACTACATCAGCACCTGCTTCAAGGAGGTCCCTGACAACCTCATCTTCCACCTAAAGCGCTTCGAGTTCGACTTGGTCGATTTCAGTCGGAGAAAGGTCTATGATCACTTCGAATTCCCACCATCTATCGACATCAGCACGTACCATGTCGACCATCTTAGTGACCCAAGCAAGTCAAAGGAAGCGGACATATTCGACCTTGTTGGTGTACTTGTACACACAGGTACTTGCGAGCATGGTCATTACTATTCTTACATTCGTGAACGACCTTGTCCGACAGGAAATGCAGCACCAACCTGGGTTGAATTCGATGATAGCAATGTTGGACCTTTCGACCCAACAGACATTGGGTACCGGGCGTTTGGAGGCTTGACAGACGACAGCTTCAACCGCGTACCGAAACAATATTCTGCATACATGCTGTTTTATCAACGCCGGACTGCGGTAGAAAACGATCAGCGCAATTGGGTCCCCTCTCCAGACGGGAAGACTCTAAAAGTTCCCATGCCCCCAGCCCTGGAGAATGAGGTTGATCTTAAGAACGAGGTGTTTATCAGAGAATACTGTCGCTTCGATCCAAACCATACAAAGTTTGTGCGACAGCTTCATGCCATGTCACGTACTATCAACCACGGGTCATGCTCAGAAGGCCATCTACAAGTACGTGATATCGCGTTTGATTTATCCAGGTTCAGGACACTAACGTCTTTGCAGGAAACTCGCTCTTTGAGGATAGTGCTTGCACACCTCGGCAACGTTGTCTGGCGTCACATGACTTCCGATATTTTTTCCGATACCTTACTTCAGATACGACGCTCCGTCCTGCCCTGCTCAACATGCTGCAACATTGTCCTCAAGGCTCTTGCTACCGACGAATGGAATCTGCTCAATCTGCTGCTCCGTTGCACACACGCCAAAGTACGGTCTCAAACACGTAGCTTTCTGATCGACTGTCTCAAAGTCTCGCGTGAAAAGGACCCTGTTTCATACGGTCTGGAGGACGCTGAGAATGATATGGACTTCGATCTTTCTTCACTAACAGGTGGGATACTTGCGAGTTTCACGACCAGGTTACGTATCATCACAACCGAAACCCACATGTCCATACGGGGCTGGGACGACTTCTATCTCACACTAATTCAGATGCTCGAACTGGGCCATGTGGAGATCGCTGTAGTATTGAATGGTGGCTTCCTGGATTTCTGCCTGAAAATGCTTTGTATGCACTCGTACAAGCGGTTCCAAGACGAGGACCCTGACCTATGGAGAATTGTGAGCAAGAAGTCGGGAATTTATAATAGGCTCATCGGATTCCTGTCGAATTTGCTCCTACGCATCGATACCGGTCTGCCAGCCATTGCCTCAGGTGCTGATCGCCTAGCTTCGCTCGACCGGGAGACTATGATGTTTCCATTGACCTATCAAGAACGGAACATGCTCTATTGGTGGGACTCTGATCTGAAAGCCATTGCGGTTCTAGACAAGGCGTTGGAAATATTCGATGAGTCGAAAATGGATTACTTCCATCCCGGTGACATGGTCAAATCGATGCTCGGTTGGCGAGACCCGCAGGCTCAGTCCAGCCTCTTCAAGACTCTTCTTGAAGGCATCGTTACGCTCGACCCTCCCTTCTGCGATGCTTATATGAGAGCTTCACTATCGTATTGCGAAGGCTGTCCGGTGGTAGACAGTGTCAACAAAATTATTACAACGATTGCGAAGGCGGTTGCATCAAACAGTCGGATTGAAGAGGGCCGCGCACCTGGCGGCTCGGCTGCTCTCGATTTCTTTGGCGGTCTTTTGCAAATAAAGAACGAGGCTATCTTTCAGCAAAAGCACCAGTACATGTTCTACGCATGGGTTATAGGGAAAAGCCGCATTTGGGCACCCCCCTTACTCTTACACAAGCTGGAAGACGTACGGCAAGGTGCACAGATGCTTGTCTGCGAGCTTTACAGGACTTACGAGGGATGGTCTGTGGATCTGGTACAATTCAGATGGAAAACACTCCGTGAGACGATCACCGACATGATGAAGCGCATCGTATACGAAAAAGATCTAGGCATGCCGAAACATCATCTATCCCCACTTATCGACACTTGCCAATTCCTCGTTCAACAGCTCTACGACCTCAACCAGAGCGAGGATCTTGAGTTGGATCTGTATAGAGATGTTGTCAACGACACCACACGCATGCAACAGTGGGCTGAGGAGATCGAACCTAGATTGGAAGCTTGGCCACAGGACGATAGCCTATCAGCGGCTGATCTCTATGATAATTCTGGTAGTGAGTCAGATGGGGAAGAAGTATATGATAACGATGTATGATTATTGACACGATGCGTCGGTAGATGGCCCACTCAAGTCCGACTCATCGCTGTCTCCTTGTGATCCGGACGGCGCCAGCGATCGTTCTCCAGCCCGTTCTTCGAACGTCACGTACATCAGTGATGAAGAAATCACCATCTCAACGAATTTCTAGAGCAACCATAAACCCATGGCTTTGCTAAGAGCAGGCTGTATGGATTTGGACTTTCTGTGCATTGACTTTGCACGAAGTTATTGTTAGGAATTGCATGCCCTGTTTTCTAGGACACATCTGGTACACCATGGCATTTACTTTGGACTTCGGTTTTTGGGGACAGTCTTCACTTTATTGTTCTTGCTGGGGTGGCATAGCGTGGGTGCTTGGGGGTACTTAGATGAAATGACCTCTTCACATTGGGAGTTAGGTATGACTATCACGCTTCATGACTATAGCATCCTCACGATAGAGAATTTATCTACGGAAATCTCATTCTGCTCAAAGCATCCTACGCATAACGCGTAAGTATTGCTGAGCAGCTGACTTCCCCCCGAGCACGATCTTGCACCGCGCTGAGACGACCCACTCTTATGCCAATCCCTCACTATGATACTTGCAACCGTAACAGAGGGGCGGAGTTGCCCAATAGTCGAGAATGAAATCCGATCGCGCGCGGAGGGTCGGGCATGCGATATCGATAAGCATCAGGCTAAGCTTCGTCAGCCTGGTCATCGCGTCCCACCCGCAGAAACGACGTCATAGCGAGGTAACGCGGAAGCTGCGGACAAGCTTTCCGCTACCTAGAGCCGTGCCGTCATAATAAACAAGGCTACCCAGTCGGCTTTGCGATTGTTGTTGAATCCCTATTCCCTCTTCTAATCTATAATTCCTTATACCCCTCCTCCAGATCTTCCGGCTCTTGTTTTTTTGAGACACCATCCTTGTGAAGCAGCACGCGACAAACCTCATCCCCGGTTCCAGCACCAAAACGACACCATACGGCGAGAACGACACAGCAATTGAGGTGACTCAACTACAATTACATTCACAATGTCGAACAAATTAGACGCGATGAAGCCGCAGAGGAAGATTGAGCTCTTTTCAGGCTCATACTTTGCGGCGTGTACAATGGGTGGTATTATCGCGTGCGGGCCTACACATACTATGGTTACCCCGCTGGATCTGGTGAGTTTATTCTCACGTGCCAATTACATTTTTGAAGTCGCTGAAGTATTCAAAATGTTTCCGAGGACACACGCGCTGATTCTCATCTCACAGGTAAAATGCCGCCGTCAAGTCGACTCCAACCTCTACAAATCCAACTCGCAAGCCTGGAAAATGATCTATTCCAAAGAGGGTCTGCGCGGTGTATTCTTTGGTTGGACACCCACTTTCATCGGCTACTCCATGCAGGGGGCTGGCAAATACGGTTTCTACGAAGTCTTCAAGTACCTGTATGGTGAGAAGCTTGCTCCCGGCGCCCCGCAAACGGTTGTATATCTCGCTGCCTCCGCTTCCGCCGAATTCCTCGCCGATATTGCCCTGTGTCCTATGGAGGCAATCAAGGTCCGGATGCAAACGACCATGCCACCGTTCGCAAACACACTAAGGGAAGGCTGGTCGAAAGTGATCAAGGAAGAGGGCGTTGGCGGTCTTTACAAGGGCCTGTATCCTCTGTGGGCGCGTCAAATCCCATACACCATGGTCAAGTTCGCTACGTTTGAAGAGACTGTCAAGCAAATTTACGGCTTCTTGGGTAAGCCAAAAGAGTCGTACGGAAGTCTACAGCAAACTGGTGTGAGCTTCCTCGGTGGATACATCGCTGGTGTTGGATGCGCGGTCGTCTCGCACCCTGCAGGTATGTCGGAAATGTTTCACGAATATCAGAAAGTAGTAAATGGTGGCTAACATGTGCTAGATGTCATGGTCTCGAAGCTCAACAGCGACCGGAAGGCCGGCGAGGGCGCTGGCCAAGCTATTGGCAGGATATACGGCAAGATCGGTTTCGGTGGTCTTTGGAACGGACTGCCTGTCCGTATCTTCATGATTGGTACTTTGACTGCGTTCCAATGGCTTATCTACGACTCCTTCAAGGTCTACCTTGGTGTAAGTTGTTCCCACCGCTGTGTATGTGGGCCTGAAGCTAACTTCCAAACAGCTACCTACTACCGGTGGCCACTAAGCCATCTACTACACGAAGAGAGTGCGATAGTCATGGCGTGCAAGGTGTTCTTGGAGTAAGACTAGCGGATGACTACTACCTAATGACGTTTAGTTGATGTAATTTACTTCCTGCTACCCGTGGTTGTCAATCCTAATATTATCTGTTCCTACTCACAAGACTGCCCCCTCATCCTAGTCGATATGCATCATTCAATCTAGTATTTTGCGACATTTTATTATTGTTCTGGAGCTGTACGAGGAGTAGCCTCGCAGCTGTCTGCATTTACTGTGTGAATCGTGAGCATAACGCGACTAAAATTCCTAGATTCTTATTCGGCATCACAAGTCAGCATGCAAGGACCCCTCCACTCGTTTGCATGGCGATACAAGATTGCCCCTCCGCAAATAAAGACGAATCTTTGTCTCTCATTTCACAAACCGCTTGATCATGTATTATCGCATCTATCACATAAGACTCACTTTTCTATCGCGCCCTCTGTAAGATCCATCTTCGCAACCATCAAACACCAGACTTCTACCTATACCGAAAGCGAAGAGTACTTCTTCATCAAGTTGGGTATTTGTTATCTGATCACCGAGCATATTATTACCTTCAAGATCAAATTCCTACGAGAAGACCATATTGTCAATGTCGATATACGCATCAGACATGCACTTGTCGAAGGGGCGCTATGGAAGCAGGTGGATGTAAAGCTGACGAACACAAGGTTGAAGAAAGAATAATTCAAAGTAATTTGTAGATTCGAGGAAGTCGATAAGATGGAGGGAAGATAATAAGATGAGAAGATGAGCGCGGACAGGATGCCCAGGGAAAGAGGGACAACTTAGTGGAATGTTCATGGGCATGAGCTGGACTAGCGACAACCTTGGAATTCTATGATGAAATACGGGAGAAATTAGAGAGACTGTCAATAGCAATGTTGCCTCTTGACTTGTGCTATTAGCAAGAGAGTGGGAAAAGAACGATAGGCTGGAGTCAGGTTGCAGGCCTTATGTCCAGCACCTTGCTGTATCAATTTTGTGGTGCACCGCAGACCAACTGTTGGCGCAGAAACGATAGTTCTCTATAGCTCGTAAAGGGCGTTGTAAGTATCAATAAGCATGCGATAGCAGAGCCTGAAGGTCTTCGCAGAGTCGCGGGGGGTGGGGAGATGGCAACCCAAATATATAGTGCCTTCACTAAGCCGACGCTTGAGCGACGCTCGAGCACTAAGCCCACGCTTGAAGAGCACCGCGGTCGCTGTCCGCCGCTCGGTGTAATGCGCGTTGCTCCGGACCCGTGAGTATGGTCCCCAATGGTGGAGAGGACGTGCGTAGCGGCTATGCAAGGCGAGAGCAGAGAGGGTAATAACACGGCACGTATGCTCTGTACAAACTAAAACTCGTTTCGATGTTCTTCATACAGTAATAATGTGGGAATATCTACCACGGGGTATGTCAAGCGAGGAGTGACTTCAGTTACTTGCGTATGAAGTAATATCTCGGCTCCATCTCGGTATAACATTACACGTCCGCCCCACCCTCTACAGTCGCGCCGCTCAACTTACCGCTTTTGAACTCGTCGACAGTAACCCCAAAAGTAACCCACTCTACTCCTTGATGGCCATTGATCCACTCGATGAGCTTCTCGTGCAGTAGGATGACTTGTGGCTTGCCGCTAACCTGCGGGTGAATACTAATAGGGAAAATGAAGCTTCTGTCGTCGGGGCATTCGCGATACAGGAATTCGAATTGTTCCTTCCATAGACGTTCGATGACCGCGGTATCGACGAAGCCATGAGTACTTGGCTGCATGAGTGATAATTGGAAGGGCGGCCAGTCGTCCAGGTGCCAGTTTGCAGGTATCTCAACCACTGCAGACGGCTTCAACGTTGACATGGGTGTCATCCAGTGAGAAGCTGGCTTTGGTAGATCGGTCTCTGTATATGTGACGTGATGTGACGAAGGAACATAGTACGGCTGAGAGTCGTGGTGCATGAAAGAATGATCGTACTCCTGCAGCATTTTGTCAGTCCTTCGCCTGTACCAGAAATTACGTGCAGGTTTCCGTATGATCCCGAAGTCTTCGAGCAGCTTAATGGTTTCTCTACTCGTACTCCAAGCCGGTGCAGTCCAACCGCGCGGCTTCTTGCCTACGATGTTTTCCAAGACTTGAATGCTCTTTTCTAGAACGTCTCGCTGCTGTTCTTCACTTAACAAAGAGACGGACTCGTGTGTGTACCTGGGTAGTCGATGTACGAAGTCAGCTTATATGTCATATGCATTCCGTACATCAGAGCTCCTACCCATGCAGCCCTATCTCATGTCCTTTCTCAACGATCTTGCGTATTTGTTTTGGAAACGAATCTGCAGTATGCGCTGGTGTAAACCATATCGCCTTGACATTGTACTTGTCGAAGAGCTTCAGGAGACGATCAATGCCTACTGTCGCGCCAAACACACCCCGCGATATGTCAGTGGGATTCGCGGGAGCACCAGTCTTCGTGTTCAGCCTTAACATGCTGTTAGCCCACGATCCGGCAATGCACTAAACAGGACCATTGTACCATTCGCTCACCTGCATTGTACGAATCAGTGTCTGTCTAAATAAATAAAAAGAGGGCATACTTGTTACTCACGGCGTCGATATCAATACCATACGAACAAAGTACGCGTTTCGGCATAATCTTGGGTAATACCTTCAAAGAAGAAAGGATTTCTTAGTCGTGAATTGATGTTAAAAAGTGACAACACTCGATAGTAAGGCCACAGCCCCATCTTATCATCAACCCCTTGCCTCATCAAACGTTATGGCTTGAAGCGCAGTTGTGCTTGCAACGTTGCGTCACATCTGCCCAGGATCATTTCAATGCCGTGTGAGTGGTTCACCATCTACTGATATACTCCGAAATACCAAACAATGGGTAGTAGCAGGGTTCCAATACCGGATGAACTAGCCTGGAGCGGCCCATGAACTGCTTTGGTGCTGGTGCAGCGCATTTCGTATGTACTTGCTCATTTACGGCCTTGTAGCGAGTTATAGACGAAGGAGCGCTTTACGATAGCTCGGAACGGAATTGAGCGCTCGAAAGCGGGGCACGCGTGGGATTACCGAAAGCGCTGCCGTGGAAGAGATGACAGAGATGGACTCTAACAACGCAGTTCAGGTAGACGAGAACCTGAAACAGTACTTTTTCTTGCTTTCGTCTGATCTTTATCGAGTTTTCAATACAGCATGTTGTTCGTGGAGTGCAACGGAACCCCTTACGAAGTAAGTGCAACGCGTGACGTCATTGCTGCCCGTCACCGCCAATGAACGCAGCACCGAGAAGGCGCTCAACGGGATTGTGCTGACCATATTACATAGATCGGCTACCAACATGGTCAAGCTGCCAAGCTACAGATAGCCCGCTGCATCGAGTTCTATGCTTGTCTCTTCCTCAAGAACTGCAAGCAAAGATGGCCGCAGGTTCTTCAACACGCGTCAAAGTTTGAACAGCGAGCGAAAGCGCAATGGCCAAATTTCCATGCAGAGATGCAAGGCATCGCCGACGGCTCGGGACGCGATTTGTTAGATATCGTGGCTATTAACGTCAGAACTGAGATTAACTTTGGTTTGTTCAGCGATGGCTGCACTGCACTCGCATGGCATACCCAAAATCGGGCATGGCTGGCGCAGAATTGGGACGTCAGTTCTACTTGATTACATATGCAGCATAGGATGATTGTATGCTAATCGGACTTAGTGGATGACCGAGCAGCAACAGAATCTGATTGTCACCAAGATTACGCAAGCCGCCAAACCCACTATAGTCCAGGTAACGGAAGCAGGGATAATCGGAAAAATCGGCTTCAATAGCAGTGGCGTCGGTACACTGTTCAATGCCATAAAAGTCCATGGCGTCGACTCTATCCGAATGCCTGCCCACTTCGGCCTAAGAATGGCATTGGAAAGCGAAAGCGTCGATGAGGCTGTCCACAAGCTTGAGAGTTTTGGCATGGCCTCTTCAGCCCACATCCTGATAGGTGACCCAAGCAAATCTCTAGGTCTGGAGTTCACAAAGAGCACTTTCGCCCACGTACTACCAGACTCCGGTTCGAAAGTCATTCACACGAACCACTTGCTTCTAGAGCATCCCGGCGAAACCGATACTGTGTGGCTCAAAGACTCCTTGGACCGGGTTCGCACAATGACTGAGAATGCTGGAGCATTAGGTGAAGAACCGAGCTGGGAAAGTGTGAGTCGATTGTTCGAAGACGAACAGAATGCCCCAGGGGCAATATGTAGGGTCGAGACCGAGCAGAGTGGAAGTGGCACGTTGTTCAATATCGTGATAGATTTGAAAAGCAAGAAAGCCGTAGTGAAACTTGGCAGGCCTACAGAAGTACAGGAAATCGTCAACTTAGAGCTATGAAGTAAATACACTCCTTGTTCTATTGGTTGTTATGGGGCTATACGAGGCTCGCGCACTGTGAGAAAGACGTCTAGTAACTGTTTGCAGGGGAATCTATGGTCAACCCAAGTAGTTTTCGCTTTACTTTCAATTCCTGGGCAAAGACATGGCGCGATTTCGTAGTGAGCATAGAGTCTTCTGATCTTTGTCACGTACCAAGTAATGCGACGGGTACGCCGGCCGCGGTTCCCCACTACAACGTGGGGGCTGGATGAGCATGTTGGCAGTTCAGCGCTCTTGGCGACCTCGATTCAGACCCGGCACGTTGGTAAAAGTGGACGGGCAGTTCCGTGTCGGGAGACCCACGTACTGAATACGCGAGACTATTACACTAAGTTTTGGCGAGTGTAACCTCATAGCTAGTCAGTCACATACTGAAAACGGGTTCAGTGACACATGGTGGTACGTATAATTGCAGAATCTAGGAACCAGCCAGGACTGTCAAACTTTGATAGCGGCTTTCCGAAAGCTTGAATGGAAGATTTGAATAAGGAAACACTAGAGGACAAGATATCTATCTGTGTTAACGCCAAGGGTATTACATTCCCACCAACCGAAAATGCGCACATTAATTAAATGCCAAGAGGTTACGACTATTACAACATGTTGCTGGCATGTAGTTGGGATACTCAAAAGCCGGTAAGAGAAAAGACCCTGTCGAGAAACGCCATAGAGAATTACATTTCCGGTATCATGTCCATGTTATCGTTCAAAGAAAACTCCGCGTTCCAGTCAGAAGGCGGCAGATTGTATGAAAGGACGCCAAGCGGGTCTGGAGTATCAGTGGTTGAGGTGGTGGGATTGAACACCGTCCAGAGTTGATAGGCTTCGTCGCCTTCCGTGAAAACGCAAGACGGAATTTGGTAATCATACATAGTGCTCGTATCAGATACGGTCTGATGAAGCGTTGGTGGCCGATAGCTCGCTCTCTGTTCCAGAAACTCGAGGTATTCTTTTTTGACTGGGAGAAGTAGCCGTTCGTATTCTTCAAAACACCTTTTTGCGGCTGCCCATCGCTCAGAGATGGACAGAAAGCACTTTGAGAAAACATGCATCCACTCTTCTACTTGTTGCCACGAGTAGTTTTGTGCAACTTCTTTCTTGCAACGCTGCAACCCCTGCAGAAATATGAGTGCGCAATCAAAGACATGATGGCACGGATGGAAGACATATTTGATCTTTCCAGCCTCTGCTTCTGATTGTTGGAAATAGCCATCAGCAACTTTGACAGCATTGACCAGGGCGACCATCATCTTCTCCCTGCTTGGATTTGGTATTCGTTGAGAGGACCGATGTAACAATGATAAAATATAAGGACATGCGATATCGGAGTACAAGCGCATTTCAGTCCATCGCGCGTTCAAGCTGCGATCCTTGTTAGCCTCTGAAGCGGCGTATATATCTCGTTGCCAATCTGCCATGTTATCGATGCAGTGTTGTATCCATTGCTCCAACGAGGAGTATTCCTGAGATATTGGGTCGCCATGCCATAGAACAGAAATGATCTCGGCTTCAATAAGACGGAAGCGGCAGATTATACGCTGCGTGAATTTCGACACCCGTCCAGTAGGCGACATACTAGACTGTGTAATGGCGGTATCATCGATCTCCAACGGAAATGCGACATCTATACGTCCGACGGGGAGGCTTGTAGGGCGTAAGAATATGCAGCAGACTCCAACTTCCATCTCCCACGCGCACCAGAATATACGTCGTCGCATATCACGCTGATAGGCCGAAACCTTGGCGTCATTCGGCAATTCTTGGTGAAGTCCAAGGTCGATGACTGCTTGGCTGATGAGACCTGTCATGAGCCACAAATCTGCCATCTTAGGATTCAGAAAGATATACTGAGTCAGAAGCAATATAGCCTGCAGCCCAGCAATGTCGTTGGTCGCAACTTCTGGAATCCATTGCATGGCATGTCGAACCAGCTGGTAGGCGAGATCGTTTGCCTTCTGCACGTTGTTCCGCGCGCTTGTGGTTAGCGAGATAGCCATGATAATGCAGACTATGTAGCGATTCCGGAAAGAGTCTTCGTTGGGAGTTGCCGCCTTTTTATGGTAGATAGAGTTGAAGGCCGTTGTCACATCGTTGCGATGATATATGGGGTATTGCGTAATGACGCGATCTAGATAATTTTGGAGTAGTTTGTTGGCGCCAACCTCATCAGGCATGAGGTCGTAAAAGAGGCCCCTAGTTTGTTGGGGATTCAAAATAGATCTAGGGTGGTTTTCGTTCAAATCATTTGAGAGAACGGGTCCCTTTTTCGAAGGCAACCTGGTGCCTTTGATGACGCACTGCAAGAACGGCCGGGCTTTGCAGACACCAAGGAATGAAGGTGTGATGTCTTCCATGACCTGGTTGACGAGGCTATCGGCGAAGGCACATTTTTCTGCACGCCACTGGCCCGGTCTGGAGTCGGGTGTATGATAATCTGCTGGGGATGACAGAGTGGCACTTGACTGTCCCAACGATGGCAGCGTTGACGGCGTGCTGGTCTGGCCCTCTAGCCGAACAATGTGCGCTTCCAAGAAATCTGCAATGGATCGCGGAGCTTCTTGTTGAGTTGAAGAGTCGAAGCCAACACATTGGACGCTGGCATCAACACAACGAGTGCAGGCAGGAACTTTGCCATCGCACTTGGTGAAGTCAGTACATGTATGACGTGGGTAGAGAAAGCGTGTACCGAGAGTTTACGCTTCCGGCAGCGGGCACAGGCCAGGACGCGGCGACGGACTTTAGTTCGGTTCTGCATGGTAAACCTCGAGCGTCTGGCGTCTATACCACGACGGCGCAGTTGTCATGGCGCAGATAAAGGACGGGCTGGCGGTGGTGGTTGGCGATGGTCAATATTCTCAAACGAAGAACAGGATGCTGGCATGTGAGGGCAGCGGGCACGCGGGATGCAGGCAGCCGGGGTGATCGCTTCTGCATCGGGTCGCCCTAGCAGATAAGATCATCCCTCACTCGCCATCTTTCCAGCCCAGGCGTCCGATTGCGTCTCAGACCATTGTCCCTGACAAGACGACGGCGCGCAATGAACTATAGTACAGACTCGAGCAGCTGCTAGACTTTGATCCATAGCTGTCACGTCCTTGCAACTACCCGCTCCGATGGCTGCCGCCGCCAGCAGCTCAAACTCCCCCACGCTTGATCTAGATGCTCTGATTCAGGTAACGCCGGCCGTCTCCGCAATTTGACATCGCGCACTTATACTTCCCCAGAGTCTCCCCGCATGTAAGAGATGCCGAGAGTGTCGCCGCGGATGCGACACCTTATTACCGAAGTGCAGGTACATCGTTCCTCTGTCCCACCCTGGGCATCCTGCTAACGGGTCAGGCAATGCACAAAAGCCGGCGTGGAATGCATGTTTTACGACCATGGACGCAATGAGCTGCTGCCACGAAGGTGAGCTGACGTGCCTTGTTTCCAAATCCCAACTAAGCACACCGCCAGCTATATCAGCGAGCTGGTAGATCGTGTGCGTAGTCTGTCAAGCGGGAATCCTTCACCAGCAGCTTCGGGTAGCGCTATAGATCATGGCGTATTCGGCACGCAGGTCAAGACTGAGTTCATCGCTTCTGAAATTCCTCGATACGAGCATCACTTTGCCGAAGCCGGAAATAGCTACCGATATCTCGGCGCGGAATCGTGCCTCCTCAAATCACCCAGACTGCACACTGCGCATGAGGTCCGCGGCGAGCAGGATGACGAAGAACTCGACGATTGGCACTACACTAACAAACATTTGCCCGAGAAGCAGTACGAGCTGATGCAGCTGTTCCTTGAGACAGTCCAGCCTATCTACCCCATTCTGGATCCATCTCTACGTTATCTTGGACCGGATCTGCCCAGCGACCTCACGTCGACTGAGATGTTCTCGCTGTACATGATATATTCTATAGCATGCTACATCATCCCCAATACTCGCAAAAAGCAACCGCCAGATCAAGACTGGAACCCCACAGGTAGGCTTGCATATCATCAGGCCAATTCTATCAGATACCGCTCTCTCGCGACTCAATACTTCGCAGATGCTATGGAGCACCTCGAGTTAGCAACAATGGACCCAAATATCGACACCATCCGTTCCGTCCTTCTACTTGCCATCAACAGCTCGTTCGACCCAATAGCGGGTAACATTGGTCAGCAGATAGCTCTTGCAGGCCGTCTTGCGTTCGATCTAGAGTCAAAAAGCACATTACAAGAGCTTGGTCCGGACGATGTCCAAATGCTCCGAGCCATGCACATGACTATATTCTGCCTCGAAAATCAGATTGCATCTACACTAGACAGGCCGGCATTGTTTCCAGAACCGGTAAGCCTACTCGTCAAGCACGAACCGCAGGACAAGACTCATGACTTGCAGGAAGAAGATTTGTGTTTCGACAAGGAAAAGCCCGCCGAATATCTTTGCTCCTTGTATCGTATGCAGAATCGTTTTCGCAAGGGTGACCACCTTGCGAAAGAGAAGGTCAAGAAGCTGCTCCCACTCTTCGATGAGAAAGACGAGTTGCTTCCTGTCATACGCATAACCTTGCACATCACACATCTGTTGCTAAATCCTTGCTGGGGAAGTGCGTGGCATGTGCTGTACGTGAAGCCCACAGGTGCTGAGGGATTTAATGTTGACTATCACAAACAGGGAAGCTGTAGTAAGCTTCGGTGGCATCCACGTCTTCGTCACACCACACTGGGTTTACCGAGCAGGCACGGTGCTCATCCAGAACATGCCTGCGATCTTTGGTGGTAACCTCATCCAACTGTACTCAAACGCGCTTCTCGTTCTCGAACTTTCTTCCTGGAGGTGGCCGAGCTCCGCTGCTCTCTCCGCGTCGCTGGTCGACCTCATGCAGCATATGAAAACGAAGTACCGGCCAGACTGGTCCGACAAGCTTCAACAAGGCGACGTAAGAATATGACCTCCGGCTAGTTGCGACGGCATGCGAATCCCATATTTCCTTTCTCATGGACCTAATGAAATCTTCAGATGTCCTCTTCGTCCGCTGCGGAAAATATACGAAAAACCCAATCTAAGGGTCCGGGAGATGTCGACATCGTCCATCGCGGTTCCCGAGAAATGCCTCCAACTCCAAATTCCTGACGCTAGGGGGCTCTTACCACTCTCTTTTGACGGATTTTCTACACTTTTGGCGAGGAGTGTTCGAGCTGTCCTATACGAACTGAGAGAGTAACCAATAGGGCGGTTGGATACATGTGCCATTGCAGATATGGGTACCTGCCTGCAACACACGTCTCTGCGCATCGCACAATGAAGCCTCAGATGGCGGAGCAACTGTTGAGAGGATACCCTTGATTTATGATATGACACAAGGCATGTAACTTTGACATCTATGACATTGGAGCCCTATAACTACACGGCTACGAAGTAAAGATACTTCGATTCACGTTGAGGATTGAAAAGACACTTTACAGCATAGGAATGGAGAGAGAGGCTCGTGTGTATAGCTGGTGTTGACTTTGAGTTCTCATATGTTAGATTGGGCCCAGTGAATATAATGAGAGTACTGGGCATTGTGCTACAGAAAACGTTACAACAGCCAAGTTAGTTGCGAGGCTCAAACTCAATCACCAAATAGTCTTTTGACAACGGTATCAATGAGGCCAACCCTTGATGCTCATCCAGTGACTCATAGGATTGTTCAGTGTAGCGCTGTGACGAGAATTTGGAGAGTGAATGAATATATGTTTGGCGGCTGAATATCTCCATGTCATGAGCTGTAACTACATCTCCTTCAACCTCACTTCTCTGAACGCCAGTCCTTTGATCTCTCGTCTAGGTTGGTAGGCATATCGGGTAACATGCCAATTGCCTTGATGTTCTCGTACAGACTCAATGCAGCGAGAGTTTTCGCATCCCGAGCACCTTCTCGCCAGAGCATGTGCAACGGAACTAACTTGAGCTTGATTTTTTCTCCCTCTTCCGCGAGACCCGTTGCCTTACCTTTAAGATCTTCCAGATGCTCACGCTTGAGACGCTTCTGACAGAGGTAGAGTGTGATGAACTCGTCGCAAGCACCAGGACTGGGGTACGTGGCCTCTTCCAGTGACTCGGCTGCAGGGGGATATTCGGACGATGCTCCTTCTAGCGCAAGCTTCGTCATGTCTAGTAGCTCGCTTTCTTTCAACTCAAGTCCCGTTTCTTCTTTGATCTCCTTCGCGGCTTTTCCAGCGAACGAATCTTGCTGGTCATCTAACATTCCTGCAGGTATCTCTGTGAAGGCCAAAGATGAGGCTGCTACCCGAGGCTGAACGGTTAGTATGACTTGTTTCTCGTCTTCTCCTTCTGCGCCTTCAGGTTGTACAATCAGCTTCCGACTAGTTAGTTGAATTCAAGTGCTTCGGATGACACTAGACTCACGAGGACAGCCACACTACCACCTCGTAAGAACACCGCCCCAGGTGTCCAATTCTTTTCATCATCCGGGTCGTCATTTCTGATCTCACTTTGGAGTTTTACAAACCCCAACTTCCCTTCCTTGAACCAGTCGGCGGCCTCTATATCCAGCTTTCTTAGTCGGTAAGGATTTGAATGGAACGGATGCAGTTCGTCTTGTTGAGCATCAAGTGCATGGAGAAGTTTGACAAACCAGTTTCTCAGGGCTGGGAAGCCAAAGCCTGGCTCTCCGTCCTCGGGAGTGTCAGGAAGAAGCTTTTTGAACTGGTCTGTCGAAAGGTTCCATGGCAGGTAGACTGGTACTGGTGGAGTCAGGGTCTTGCCGTTGAACTCATTGATGGTCAGAGCCTTTTCGCGTTCCTTCGCAGGTCGCAGGTTCCCGTGGCAATCGTCTACTTTCATAGTGCTAGACTTGGTCTTCAGTTGAAGTGTGAGGAACTATGTTGGACGGGTGTAAGAAAGACAACGGTGACAGAGTGTTTGTATATTTGAAGCTGAGAGTCATTGACAGCTCTGAGCCATGAGCTGTTGGCACTAGCATTCAACTGGTCAAGTACAACGTATTGTGTAACCAGTAAAGACTGTATTACCAAGCATCACAACGAATAAGCGGACAGTCGAGCTTTGCACTCAGAGAAGCTGTCAGCCGAAGTCAATGCTGATCTTAAGGTAAGTCTCGCCGCGGGGATGGCTTCGCGCTAGGTCCACTTGCCCCGTTCAGCCCCACCACAGCATCATGCACCTGCAAGGGCCGACCGCGGAACGTGGAGTAGATGCGCGCCACCACCAAAGTTCGCGCCACTGTTTACTCCTTCACCACGTCTCAAGCATTGGACCTTTCTTAGTATTTGATCCTTACTCTCTGCTTTGGATCTCACATCTTCATCCCAGCTCGGCTCTACACTCCCTAAACAGCAGGCCCGCTCATAATGGGGACTTTGACCGCAGACTGCCCACGTCTGGAGACACACTGTCCACACAAGCTTGCCACAAGCTGCCGGTTGACATCAACGCCGAATTGCTGCGCTTGTGCCGACGAGAGAGTGCATTCCAGGACATATCGCGTGTATATTGACGGAGTGGGCTTCGTGAACCAAGGGACAAGATGGCAAGGCTATTGCTGGTTCTGTAAAGGTACGACGCTACGCAATACCACTTCGAATGGCAACATCGTAGACTGATATCGAACCAGAGTTCTGGACCAACCGCCTTGCCGCTACCGACCCTCCCCTCGACATCTCCCAGACACGCATACCAGAGATACCTGACCAGACCGAGTTCCTAGAACGATGGTGGGAGTTTCACCAGGGATATCGCATCGCAAAACTACCGGATGGTACTGAGCAGCGTATGCCTGTAATCGGGGAACCGTTTAGGGAGGTCAGCCCCGGCTTTCTTCCGCGTACGCTAGATCAGTTGAGGGCAGGAGTAGAGAACGATGCCAGTAGACGAGAAAACAGGCTCCAGAGAAGACGATTGTCGTCGGAGGAAGAGCGACCAGAGCAGCCACATCAGAGTCTCGAAGATGCGCTAGACAGTCTTCTACAAGAGGTGGTGGAAGAAGTCTCCAACACGGAGCCCACGGCACCAACGGAACCACGAGCTTCGATAACACCTCAGATACAAGAAGACCCGTCAGAGCCCCCGCGACCAATGACACGACGACAAGCGCAACAACAACGTCGACGAGAGCACTTTGCACGCGTTTTCGGCTCCCGCGAGGACGTAGAGCAGGAGGACTACGAGTCACCGCTTACACAAATGTACACACGAGCCTTCGACCGCCAACGTCAGGCCGATCAACGAAGAGCAGACGGCACTGATACCGCGCCTCCGCTCGACGGGCTGTCACCACAAGATCGACGAGAAATCGAAGAACAGTTGTTATGGGGAGTAATGCGAGAGTCACAGTCACTATCAGAGAGTCTAGAGCCAGCGAGTCAAGTCTGGAGTTATGCACCCCGGTGGCAGAGTCTTGGAGAGGACAACTATGCTGAATTGGAAGCGCACGAAGCTCACAGAGCGCAAAACGACCACCTTGCACAGCCCTTGTTAGCCAACCCTGAGCTTGGCTCCAACATCACAACGGCTATCCCTGGATTACTCTCTCAGTTGAACTCCATGGACGTGGCTGACGCACCGAATCCTGAACTAGTGATGAACCAAATGCGTACTCTGCGTCTTGAAAGTCGCTTCGCAGAGGCGCGTGCATTCTTGCGCGCTGCCCGTCCGCCTTCACCTCCGCCCATGTCGCTGGACAACCAGCCCGATCGGCCGGCACCCAAGACAGAAGAAGAGATGACCAAAACCCTCGCGTGCCAGGTGTGCTATCAGCAGATTGCTGATATAGCTGTGCTGCCTTGCGGCCACATGGTTATGTGCCAGTGGTGCGCTGACGTAGTTGTTCCCATCAAGCATGGCCATATTCCTGCGCGGCCGACCAAGTGCCCTATGTGTAGGAAACAGGTGAAGCAGAGGTTCAAGATACATACCGGTTAAAGTGGTTGTACGAACATTATGATATGACGAAAGCAATGATACTGGTATACATTTAGACGTCAGCTGCATAGACAATAGGCGGAAAATATGCCAAATCTAAATTCTAGTCTCTGGCTCGAGATGTCTACAAAAGCTTGCCTTGACCGCCATTCCCTTGTTCTCTTTTCTTCTAAATCGCGTCTACTCCTCGTTCAACTGACGCCAGTATGGCTTTCAGAGCATAAGTACTACAGGGTGGTACATTTCGATCTTACTGGACATCGAAGTGCATTACGAGCCAGAGAACGTACGTCACCTACTGCATTACGCGAGCTCTGTTTATGCTGATAACGCCAATGTCTTGTTGGACATCAATCTCACGTCTCTAAGCGTGTTGGCACGGAAGCATCTCCGATTTGTCATCTTCTGGAGCGAGGTTAGATCGGGCGATTCCTAGGATTGGCTTTGTCCGCCCGTTCCTCTGAACAATGTATGTAACGCGCCACTCCAGCGTTCAGAGTGACCTTGATATCAGAGCTGATGAGCAGCGGATTATGGGGGCTTGAAGAACGAGGCGATGGAGGCGTTGCATGCTTTGCCTGAGAGGTTTTGGGGCCTGTGAGTCTGCGGTCTCACGCTCGTACACATGCTGATAGTCGATATGGAGTGTATGTTGGACCGAGGCATAACATCAGAGACCGCCGTAGATGGCAAAGGAAGACAATATGAGCACCAGGGTGTTGATGACGGCCCAGACAAAAGGTATCCAGGTAGACATTTCGAAGTATCCCGCCTGATATACACCTCCTAGCCTGATTGCAGTCAGTATGCGACGCGATAGACATGGCAGCAGACCTCGACTCACAGCCCGCCAACGATAGCACCCGCAACAAGTGCTTCAACGCCTCCAACAAAACTGAAGACGGGCAGGGCGATCCATATTAATTTCCAGTTGCGCCATTGGACTACACATGCCCATAGTGCGGTGATGAAGTGTATACCGCCAACCAAGAGCAGTGTCCAGTACACGGTAAAGCGGAGGATATCGTCGGGGCGGTAGAGGTAGAAGGATTGGGTGGTGCCAGCGGGAAGAGGCCAGTAGAGGGACGGGAAGGGCGGCGTGGTGTAGCCGAGCGGGACCGCCGAGTCGACGCGTTGAATGAAGCTGGGAAAGATATCGTTAACTACCATGGCCGAATTGTGGGGAAGAATCGTCTTCAGTCCCATGTGAAGTCTGAGGCCATGGCCAGGGGATGCGAGAAGGATGGATGCAGGGTCCAGCGAGGGCTTACCTCATCTATACGGCATAGCTATAATGCGCTCTGTATACTTCTGCGCGTAACACTAGGGGTCGTAGGATCGTACGATACTAAAGGCCGTTGTTTTTGGAAGTTAATGCTTGTGACGTCGATCCCCGGGTGAATGTCAACGGCCAAAGCCCGAGCTTAGCTCAACCTCGGCTGGACGCGAGCCGCAATCAACACCAGCCATCGCATCTCCAACATCTCCATGCGCATCTTCTGGTAGCCTGTCGCGGGCTTTTCGGGTTCAACATGGTCGTCGATCGCCTCTTGTCCACGCTGCTGCGCTCGCTGCAGACATACACAGATCAACAGGACACGCCGCGGTACGCATCGCGAGTCCCTATTCGCATTGCGCCTACTAACTACCACAGGCTACTGGGAACCGCGTCCTCGCTCCTCACCACGCTCGGTAATCCTCACAACCTCAGTCTTCTGACTTCACATCTCCTCACTGCGCCGGCATTATGGGACCGCCCCGATGGTGTCCGAACGCCCCTCCGCATGCTGTCCGTCTTTCACGCGGCCGTCACGACCATCGTCAACCACCACAACGATGTGCGACATAACAAAGCAGCCAAACTCGCGCCAGGGCAGACGCCAATAGGAGGAGGCTTGTCGCTGGACGAATGGGTACGCGCCGTCGTCGCAGGAGCCGACGACCGGAGCCGACGATGGAAGCACTTGGTCGTTCTTACGGGCCTGTTGATAGGTATAGGGAGCCTGGAAGAGCAGGGAATGGACCTCTATTGGGCATCTGCCATGCGAAAGAGAGTGGAAGCGGCATTGGTCCGCGCGACAAACCTCGCTTTGGTCGAAGTCAGAGAACGCTCCGAGGCAGATGGATTAGGAGGCCAGACAATAACACTGACCCTCAACCACGCCTTCGGATGCATCGGCCATGTAGAAAGGACACAGATTGATTACGATCTGCTACTTCCGGTGCTTATCGGGACGGCATTCTACTCCAACGAAGGCTTCCAATCCGCCTATTTCCTCGGGGGCTTGGACCTCGACGTGCGCACAACTCAGTCAGGGAAGCTAGACTGGAGTGTAAGTGGCCATAGATCATGATACGGACGTCTGCTAACCATGTATAGCCGCATTCGAGTTCCTACAGACAGGTCGAAGTCATCATGAATAGGCCACTGGTATCGTCTATGGGCCCCCTTTCACGCCTCATCGCACACTCTGTCGAGAATGTCAAGAATCCATGGATCATCCAGACGATGATGGACGACCTCGCTAGCTTTTCTCGCGCTCTTACCACGCAATGGCGGCAGACCAAGTTGTCGGATATCGAGCCCTCCGAAGAGGCAGCCAATCTGGAACAAGAGGCGCTTCACAAGACGACTCCGCAACTGTGGAATTTGCTCAAGGCGGCTCTGTTTGCTACTACCATCATACTGCGAGGCGTCTTCACACGAACATTAGCTGATAAAGCACTGGCTGGTGATGCCATCGCCCCTATGCTAGCTTCGCAGGCCTTGCAAACCTTACGGCATCTCTACTTCATCACGTCCCGGCTCGGCCCTGCATCCTTCTCCCAACATACCTTTGTCTACCTTACAGCGATAGACATCCTTTCTGCGTATCCCAGTCACGCCGACAAGCTTCTCAAAACTATCGCGCCTCAACATCTTGGGCAGATACCAAGCCACCCTCTTGACCGTATACTGGACCTCTACTTTCTCAATACAGCAGAACACTTCACTCTCGTACTGTCGCCAGCCACAAACGAGGACTTGCTGGTCGCGTCAGCTGTGCCATACCTCGCAGCTGGCGAGAATCGTCATATGTTGCCAGTATTCGAAGCCGCTCACAGCGTCATGCTCGCTGTCTTGTCTGCTCCACAATCTGCGGAGATCACCGCGAAGCACCTCCCTTTCTATATCGATGCGCTGTTCAGTGTCTTTCCACATAACTTGTCACCACGTCAGTTCCGCCTAGCTTTCAAAACCTTGATGCGTGTCACAGCTCCTCCCTCTACTCTGTCCGCAACCCACCCAGATCTTCCAGCTACTTTACTGGAACTAGTCTTTCACCGTGCGCTCAACGCTCCTACTCAGCCACTGCCGCCTGATTCTGTTGCATTGGCCCTGCAAGGCTCGGACGCACCACCCCCTGCCCTCTCGGAACAGGCAGTGCTCGCGTTAACCCTTATCGATGCCTTGCCCTTTCTCCCTATATATCTGCTTGAAGAGTGGCTGCCTCTATGCGCAGAACTCCTCAACCAAATCAACGACGATGAGATGCGAGAAAACGTCAAAGCGCGGTACTGGGAAGTGCTAATCAGTGGCGAGATGGATGCAGAGCGTAGCGGCGTTGCTGTGAATTGGTGGACAACGAGAGGTGGCAGAGAGCGAGTACTCTATGGAAGAGAAGAGGACTACAACATGATGAGTGGAGCGCTACCTGTTGAAGAACGACATGTGCGGGAGAGTAAGCTGTAGGACTATGATACCCCAGATCCAAATTATGAAAGTCAATCCCACAAAACGCCTCTGGAAGCTTCTAAACGTGCCAATGGACAAACTGGTGTATTGCTTCAGACGAAACGACAGGTCGAATCGTATGCAAGCGCCCGTCAAGGTCAGTGCTCTGCTGCATGGCAACAAACAAACGGATGATACCAACCACCTGAGTTGAGCTCTCTCTCTCCTCCTCGTTCCTTTGTCTGAACACAAACATTGATATGTACTCAATCAAGCAAGATGCATAGCGGCACAAAGGATCGTTACGTATCCAACCACGAGGGCATGCACCAACGCAAGTCTGGTGCATCGAGTCGGCCTTCAACCTTTAGTAGCATACCCATTCGAAACGCTGCATCATCTTCAAAATCCTATAAGGGCGATCGAAAACCAAGCCGAAGCTCGTCATCCAATAACACGCCCGCCGAACTTGGCACCTCGCTCCCCAAGAACTTTCCAAAGCCATTGACCTGCCACTTTTGGCACCAGAACGGACGGTGCAGCAAGCGAGATGTCGATTGTGCGTACGCTCACTATGACACGGGCTTCATATCTAGCGCGCCTGTCACTCCGCTCGGAGGTATGCATAAGCTTACCCAAACTCCCATAAAGCAACGCCTGACTAAGCAAAATAACAGCTTCCGAAGCCTTCGCTGGCAGGAACATCGACAAGTACGCCAAGAAACTAGACATGCCCATGCCATTGCTGGCCGATCTACAGAAGCGGGAGAATATTGTGGCTGGAGGTGAAGCAGAACTGGAAGAGCGCCAGCAGACCCTCAGGCGACAAGAGGACGAGGTTAAAGACCGGGAGAGTACGGTCTTACGGCGGGAGATTGAAGTAGATGAGAAGGGGAGGAACGTCGAGAGGACGACGGCGAGCTTGGTGCGTAAGAGGAGAGAACTTAAGATATTGGACAAGAGCATCAAGAGGAGGGAAGAGGCGTTGAGAGAGAAGATGATTTGAAAAGTGGGTGTAGGTCGAGGTTGAGGCTGGAAGAAGGGATGTGCAGTGTTTCTATAACGAACTTCATGATGTCACTCTCGGGCCCACGTTTTCTTCATTATACAAGATGAGGTACTCTAAAGCTGTCTATATTTATATGGAATCGTGGCGTTTATGTCGTTCTGCGTTTGGCGTGATTGTGTCTAGTCATGCAACTCGACGTTAAGCAGCACGCCCGTTACAGTATTCTCGCTCTAATGCGCCTCATACCACGCAGCTCCATCGTCTAGTGTTCGTTTTTCTTTCAACCACGTCCAAAGAGACAATGTGGTAGAGCTACGGGTTTAGCCAATCCACTCCATACGCCCGAGAACTAACTACCAAGTCTGGACGAGCGAGAGTATTGTGGAGGTCTTGACCAACAGAACAGGCTAGGATGCCATCTTATACTTCGTGACATGTCGTAATTTGTCCTTTTTAGTGAACTCGTGGAGACCATCCATGACACTTTCGTTATGCATCGAGGTGGTTGTTTGTCGAATGGGTTCTTCTCATACCCTATCTCAAGTAAAGATGAAGGTTTCGATACTTTCCGTCCTACCATCAAACCTGTTACTCTCTGTCCGTCCGTCATGTCTTTGGTTCTCAGTCCATCTATCATGTCTACCGGTTCCTGTCAGCCCATCGAATTTCTTTCCCTCCTGTAGCACAATCCCCCCTTCCTCGTCCACAATATGGCCTGCTCCCAGTTGCCTAATATACCCTTCTTGTTCCGGCTTCGACACCATGGTTGCCATACTCGCCGAGCCCGTACCCGTCGATCTCCACCATGAACCGTCTTTCTTAACACTGGATGCCGCACCGCGGCTGGATCCATACATACTCGCGGCCACCTTGAAGTAATGCGTAAAGAATACTTTGAGAGCCGGCGCACTAGCACAAATAGCCCCCAGTTGAATCTCCAACATGCAGAGGAGCCACGCAGGCCATGACTCCCAGGTTGAATCGTACAATGGGTTGTTGAAGATGCGGTAAACGTAGTAAGACCGAACACCCGCGACGATGCAGACTAGGTAGCCGAGAGCGAAGATGGCACCTAAAGCAATCTTCTGGCGACGAGGGATTTGCAAGTTCCAGTATAGGATTGTAGGAAGAAAAGCGGCAACGGCATCCTGCACTGCGCTGATTATGCTCGCTGATAGCAGATCTGCATATTCGTTGACCCAACAGTGGTATGAGTATCCTGCGATTTGCCTGGCGATGTCGAACTGATACCAGAAGGCTTCAAAAGGTGTGCAGGCTGTGAAGAGCACGACGACGAATGCAATGCAGAAGATGCCGATGGCGATGATGTTAATCCAGGTCGCGATCCGGAAACTTCGGGTTATAGAGCGCGAGTCGAGGCGGCGGTAGAAAAGGAGGATGGAGATCTTGATCATTCCACCGGACACAATGTACAAGAGGTAGAGGATGAAGGTTATCTTGCGCTCAGGGACGTACATGTTTGGATGGACGTCCCATATGTGGCGATTGAAGTCGTACTTTTCGGTTGCTGGATATCAATATTAGGAAACTTATTGAATGAGTTTGTACGTTACTTCTAACGCACCTAGACATACTACGACAGTAAGTCCAACTGTTGGTATCTTTACACCATGTGTTAGTCCATGTATATATGGATTTCGACCCTGCGAGAAATACATACCATTGCAGCCGTTATAATCCAGTCATCGAGCCCTGCGTTCCTTTGTATGATAGCTCTTGCCCACATTCTGGCTCCCACTGTGACAAGCATGACGGATCCCAGAGCACACGATGTAATGAGGACGGCTTTGGAACGAGTAACGGGGTCATCGTAATTCGGAACCGGCCACTTGGCAAGCACCGAGATAGGAGGAAGGAGACCACTCGATCCGCTTCCATTGGGACTGTACGCCATATCGATTTCTTTTGTAGAGAATCCTTAACAGGATTACCCCAGCCTAGGAGGCCTGGTGGCGAAATGTATTTAAACGTTCGTGATACTTCCAGGTATTTGGCGTTCAGCGTGACAACGCCATATAGAGAGCGAGAAGACTCCGGAACCCAGACACTCACAAGAAATAAAGAAAAGGTAGACGGGCGTAGTTGATGAACAATCCCCAGCCATCGCGCGACAGGGAAAGACCCTATACTAGCTCATGTAAGACCAAAACCCTTCCTATTCTCCACGTGAGCCAGACCATGCCGATTTTCTGTACAAAGTTTGGCCACCTCTTCCAAAGGCCGTCAACAACATGCAGTGGCGGCTGAGGAAACCGAAACAGAGTCAGGCACCAAACAGTAGGTCGCTGCACCTCTGTAGACTATGCAGCCGTTCGTTGACGGTTGCGGATCTGGAGCATCGTCTAGCTCGAGAGCTACCATCGGAGCGATGACTCGTTCGGAGAACCGATGGCCGCGATTGTCAAAGTACCGTGCCGCAGATTAACCAAAGTTTGGGGTCATCCAAGGAGGGGACGGACGCATCGCTCGGCCGAATCTGTGTGGCGCGGATCCGCGACATAGTCGACAAGAGATGACATTGGAAGAGCGGGTGAGATATTGCGGGAGATGAGAGGGTTGGGCTGCAGCTAGATTGGTTGTGGGTAACTGAGTCATGGATGATGTGAGCGATGGAGACTGCACTTGGCTTGGAGGTGGGTTGATCAACGGCAGGATGGACGGTTAGGCTAGGCACAGCTTCAAAGCATCAGCGTTACCTCACGTGGCGGTAAGGTTTATTTGGGAACCACACATCTTGCTGAATTGCTTTCTCTTCAAAGCTGTTGATAATACTTCGTGGGCCGGTCCGTCGGATGTGAATTCTACAGTTCCGCACCCGGGCAAGGATATCTCCATTCAAAGCTGGATGTTCAGTATAAACCCATGCAAGATCTGGGTGATGAGTGATCAGATGGATCGTGCAGCAGATCTCCGAGGCCGTGCTAACGCACGCGCCGACGATCACCGCCCGCTGCAGGTCACCAAACCTTAAAGCCGTACGAAGCACACCGGCAAGACCTAGTCTACGAGATACTCAACCTTATATTTCTCGTACGGGTGGTGCACCCAGAGGGCAACATGTCGCAAGATTTTGTAGCAGCTGAAGTTGGATTACGGACCAAATTTTTGAATACCATGTTGCCAGTGGGACGCACTGTAATTGTAGTCTGTGAGGAAGTAAAGAGATATCTGTGCGAAGATAATAGAGTGTGTAACTTCTCCTTTCCCCAACAACAGTCCGAAACACAAACGAAACAATGTGGCTGATAAGCCATGGTATGACAGGTGTGCGCCATACAAGCCCAGCCGGGCCCCGATGCACCAAACACCTAGCTAATCACAAAGGGAAAGAATAGACGCCATCGCCATGCAAGTCTTGCGTATGTTTACAGTTCAGGCTTCCCGAGTCATGGATTTCCACGGGGCTGTGGAGTGATTTTCCTCCGCATCACCGTCCGAAAGCCGCTTTCATATGTCCGCGTCTTCGTGTTACGTTTGTTCCTCCTTCAGGCTCTTAGTACGGGACTTGGAGCGTTCGCGAGTTACTGCGTCTTTCAGCGCCTTCAGTCGTTCTTCGGTCACACGAATCGCTTCGTCCATCTCCCGCGCCTGCATATCATGGGGCGCTAAGGGCTTTTGCGTTCCGTCTTCCGGCTTGATCCGCGATCCAACGATAGAGCTTTGCACTCTGTCTAGGGCGACTCTCTCTTCAAGCCAGTTCCATAGATCCGACTCTTCATGACGCCAAATCTCTTCATACGCAACTTGACGTTGAACAGTAGACCACTGGTTTGGGCCGGTGACTGCAGATCCACCACGGAAGAACCATGTGTACATAAGGAGGGCTCCCATAAGGAAGATAATAATCTGCGGTGTGAAAATGGACTCCAGGATATCGGCGAGTGGGCCGAGGAGACTGCGCAAAGGTTCCAATAATCCCCAATTGCTTTGCTTCGCTTGACTAGTGGGAGCGGGAGCGGCGGCAGGCATTGGGGCCTCTTCCAAAAGATTGCCCTTTGAGCGCCTCTTTCCTTTTCCGCCCTTTCCGGGTAACCGAGATGGGCCGGCTTTCGCTGCGCTCACGGCAGTGCGGAGAGCAGCAGTAAGGGAAGTAGCATACGACATTTGACCGTCGTTCGCACCCTTCTCGATGGGACCTGGAGAGTGTCAATATATCTCTCGACTTAGAACAAGCACCACTACTTACCCTTCAGCCAACTCTTTCCGCTCCATTCTACTGTGAAGGTCATGATAAGTCGTGTACTGTTTCCCGGTCCCCACATCAAGCAGTATCTCGTCTTTGTAAGAAATATACTGCCGTTGGGTACATCAGGTGTCGCTGTGCTGCACTGCACACTCACAGCCTTATCCAGATCGTATTGCTCGAGATTCATGGCAATATTGCATTTTGTCTGGCGCGGTCCAACAGGTGCATTTAGCGGTTTGATGTAGGAATAGTTGAACGTTTTCACGTCTTCACCCAAGCCCTTTTTGTCATCTTCCATCTGGAGGTCCATGGACTTTTGGTCCTCAACCAGCCATTTGCGCATGAACACGCCAGAAGCGGGGCCGAACATTAAGCTGTAAACCTTGCCCAAAGGTGCTGGGATAGTTGTGTCAATGAGTAGCTTGTCGTAATGCTGATCGTTATCGCCACACTCAGTAGGTGCGTGTGTTGCTGAACCAGGAAAGTCTTGTCCTGCAGCCGCAGCGCCACTCGTGGCTGCTTTGGCGGCTTCAGTCGTCTCGCCACCACCACCAAAGGCTTGTGATACTGCACCGCTCACTTTCCGGGTGGTCTCGCCTGCTACGGAACCAACTTCACTACCAGCTATACTACCTTCACCGGGTTCGGTGAAGCTGCCAGTGCCCTCATCATCGTCCGCATCTTCGTCGTACACCTCATCATCTGAATCTTGAAGGGAACCGTCATCACTGCCAATAGATTCTGCCTTCTCAGTCTTGTCGCCAGTACCACCGGAACCATCCAGAGTTAC